GGGGGAGGAGGGAGCGATGGAACAGGACAAAAATAAGCCGCAGGGCCGAGTGCGAGGGAGGGAGGGAGGCCGGTTGCTGTACATTTGGTGGGGAGGGGGGAGAGGGGGCGCAATGTGCCGGGAAAACTTGGCGCGGCCCCACACCCGGAGAGCCACCGCACGACGGCATGAACGGCACCACAGACCAGGGGAGGGAGGAGGGAAATGGCACGGGCACCGGCAACGATGATGCGGCGCCGCGGTGACCACCCGGCCCCCATTAGTCCCACTCGCTGTCGGAGTCCTCTGCAAAAGGGGGAGAAAGCGGGGCAGGCACGGTGTCGAGTGGCGGTCAGTCGCTGGTCCGGAAACGCCCCCTCGGGCGGGCGCAAGCAGCAGCCAAGCCAGGGCCGGCGCCGCATTGCGACTGGGCAAAAGAGAGGATGCATACGCACCTGACTCGGAATCCGAGAACTCCAGGGCCATGCGGCGCAGGAGAATCGCCGCGACATCGCTGCCACCAGCACTGGTGGCGGCCGGGGCCTTCTTCTCCTCGCGCTGGACAGGCTTGAGGGCAATCTGCGGGCGATGGCAGGCGCGGGCGAGGAGGGGGGGAGGGAGAGGGAGAGGAGAGAGACAGGGGTCAGAGGGTGCAGCGAAGGCGGGAGAACATGTGCGCGCGTGTGTGTCGTCGTCGAGGGGGTCAGATGAAAAGGGAGAGAGGGGGAGAGAGGGAGGGAGGGACGAACACCACGCTGGATACCACCAAGCAGATCGTTGCGGGAATCGGCGACCGGCGGCGGGGCTGGGCGCTCCATGGCCGGGGGCGGCGCACCGAAGCCGCCAGAGGGCGGCGGCGGCGGAGGGGCGCCACCGAAACCACCCGGAGGAGGGGGGCCAGGGGGCGGCGGCGGAGGCGGGGCACCACCTGTCGGGGCAATTCGTGCAAGCAGAGTGGTCAGGACACATGCAGCGACGGAGGGGGGAGGCAGAAGGAAAGAGGGCCAGAAAGAAGGGGGGGGGAGTAGAATGAAGTGCATGAGTGGAGGGAAAGGGGGAGAAAGTACCAGCCTGTGGGAGAGGGGCGAGGCAGACAAAGGCACAGCCAGCGACAAAGGTAGCGGGGGAGAGGGAGGGGGGGGGGGCAGATCGGAGCCGCAGCCGGAACAGATCGGGGCGGCATGAACAAAGAGCGCGCGTGACGACACGTTGCGAGTTAGGGAGGGGGAGGCATAGGGGGAGGAGGGAGGGGGGGGGGGGATGGCAAACAGACGGAAGGGACATCAGAAGGCGGAAGGCGCACGGAGGGCGGTGGCGGGGGGCCGGGCGGCGGCGGCGGGGCACCAAACCCACCGGACGGGGCCGGCGGCGGAGCACCGAAGTTGCCCGGGGGCGGGGGGCCAGGCGGCGGGCCGGGCGGCGGGGCGCCCGGAGGTGGGGCACCAAACCCGCCAGCCGGCGGCGGAGGCGGAGCACCAGCCGGCGGCGGGGGAGCGGCAAAGCCGGGCGCGCTGCCACCCGGCGGGGGCGGAGGCGGGGCGAAGCTCGGCGGTGGCGGCGGGGCCCCCAGCGACGACGAGGGCGGCGGCGGGGGGGCGAAGCTCGGCGCGCTCCCGATGTCGGCCGAGGCAGACGGGGCAACGGACGAGTCGCTGGCCGAGCCGGACCGCTGGGACGGGCCGCTGGAGATGACCCGGCCTTCGGAGTCGTAACGCTTGAACTGCAGCTCCTTGACCTTGCGGGTGCGAACTTCCCCGCTCTAGGTGCGTGTGATATGGCATGTGGGGGGTGGGTGGGCATGTGTGAAGCACGGGGAGGAAGGTGAGCGGGGCGCGGAGGACATGGGCGATCACCCAGGCAAGGGAACTGCGGGCGGGGG